CTGCGGGTTAAGAAATGAATATCAACGCTATCTTCGCAGTTATGAACACTACTTGAGCAATAGTGAAAGTAAGACCTGAAAAAAAATCAAGCCCTTTTTTTTTTTACAGCGGTTTCAATGACTTTTCAAATAAGAGGCTGCTGATAATAAATAATAATAACGAGAAAGCAACATCTGTTACGTTTTGGGATCCTTTGCTCCTGTTTTGTGTCCTGAAAACAAAGAAAAAAAATTGAATTCTTAACGACCCTCATGTTTGGTAAATGAAATACTAATAACTTCAACAAAGTTGGACGCATTCTTCACCTTTCGAACTCTCTGTCACGTGAGTCTCAAGAAACGATTGGTAATTAGATTTTTTTTTAGAACCATTTCTTTTTTTTCAGGTCACTGTATGGCGCCTTTGAAAGAATAAAGGCTGATAGTTTCTAAAGAAACTGTTTGGGGCTGCGTCGGTGGGGGTAACGAAATAATTTGAATATATCAACAAAGTTGAAATGGTAAATTGGCCACCGTTACGATTATAAAAGCTGACGTTTCGAGCGTTAGCCCTTCATCGGAGCGAAAGACGAAGGGCTAACGCTGGAAACGTCGGCCTTTGAAAGAAGTTGAACTTGGAGCCCTGAGAGAATGACAAAAAATCATCTTACCGTTGATTTTGGATAAAAACCCAATATTGTGAGTCCATCCACTAACAGTTCTCTTCATGCTCCCAGGCCTCACTCTGATGCCAGATGTAACTATGGCAGCACGACTGTTGCCCTGCCTGGATTCCAAGGGATGATAAAAGTCCATCGCCATGTTATATGACATGGCAGCTGGAGAGGTAGGATCATGTTTCGTGGAACCAGGCTTTCGTTTGAAAGCGTTTCGAGAATTAAAGCCGTTCATCGACGGACCTTTTCGAAGAGGGCGCCCGTACATGTGTACTCCATTTTGTTTTTGTTTATATGAAGCGGAGCTCAAAAAAGGCGGTTTCTTCGATTTCTGTTGTTTATTTCCAGCGTAGTTTTTCTCAAACTTGAGTCGAACATGTTTCCTCCATGCCAGTTGAATTGTGAGCGCGGCGACTTCCTTATTGAGTTCTTCCTGTTCATTTTTCACCTCCAATAATACCACATCGCGCTGAAAACGTTCGCGTCTCATCGAAATCCATTTTCTGAACCAACGTTGAATCAACACCGCTGCGTTCACTTTCGAGCGTATTAAACGAAGTCGTTCGCGCTCTCTTCGCGCAAGTTCTGCCTTTGAAATACCGCTGTGTAATTTGTTCGCTGGCGCCAGACGAGGCGGATCATCTTTTGCAACATTAGTTCTCCGCACAGTGTTTTCTCCTTCGCTAGCTAACGCAAATCCTTCGTCAAATTCAAAGTCTTCTTCCAACAATAACGACGAAACCACTCTAACCATCTCAGCGTCATTCTGAAAATGAAATCTGTCTTCGGATTTCCGCCTTGACGATGGACTTTCCACGGAGGAACAACTTTCTTCCATAATAGCTTCTTGTAATGCAGTAGTGACACGTCTTTCGGTAGAATCCCTTGAACAAATTTTGTCTGGTAACAGTTTATCTCTAGCGGTACTTTCATTTCGTGAATGTCTAATTTCTTCAGTAAACGACGGCAGCGTTTCTTCTATATTCTCCTCAGGAAAGTCTTCTATGAAAACTTGTGGGTGTTGCTCATTATCAAAGACGTCAGCTTTATTAAATTCTCTGACAGCGTAAAAAAAAAAATTCCCAGCGTTAAGCATCTAAGGGATGATTTCGCAGATGTCATATGACTGTCCAGCGTGGGGGTCGACATGACAATGATAACTTGGTGAGTACCCTCTGTTTCATACTGTATGACCCTCCCCCCCCCCTTTGAAATATCCTGACTACATCCCCACTTCATATGAACAACTTCAGATCATCGTTTCACTGATAACATCAGCTGCTTGTGTTAAATCTAGGTCACCATTTTGAAGCTGTTTGGTTACTTGACAAGCTTTTTCGATCTACATTTAAATTACCTTGGAGATGTACTACGAGGAGATACGCTGTAAGGAGACTGGTATCCAAATAGGTCCCCAGTCCTTTGAGCACTTGCTCGTTTCTGTCCTTTCAACTGCTCGTGTCTCAAGAACAAGTTTTTCCTGTCTTGAAATGCCTTGCGGACTGCGTAACCACGCCAACACTTCTGAACTGTTGTAGCAGCGATGTCCTGGATCCCATTGATAGTTAAAGCACCTTGTTCGATCATATACTATTCAAACGACAAAAAAAAAATTTTGCGTTCAGCATCAACTTTCTTAAGGATAAATCCCTTCTAAGTGACCATTCATAGAAAGTCTTTTGAGCAGCAGGACTTCCAAAATCACTTTTCTCATTCGTCCTGATTAGAACTTTCTATTGATTGATGAGGATGAGGAAGTTAGTAAATACTTAAGCACAAACCAGGGTTTATTCCAAAACGACACTTTGCGGGATTCCGTGATTTGAAAATAAATACAGCATAAAGCATACGCCTTAGCGTTAAAAGGAGCACAAGAAATTGTGCCCAAGGATATAGGTACTTTTTTTGAAATTTTGCGCTGAAACTCATGACTGACCACAAGCTATCATAAAACCTCTTGTTGTTTCATTTGCCTTTCACTTCTTGATTAAACTCTAAAAATACGTTTAAACACCTTAAGGGGTGTACCCCCGTTCTTGAGCCCCCTTCCTTTGAAAAAAGGCCCATTAAAGTCAAAGAAGATAGCCCACTGGGCCCTCTTTGGCTAACTTCTAGAATGAACCCTACAAACCTGCGCTACATCCTGGTGGTCACCAATAATGGCATAGTCGAGGGGGGTCAACCTGGAAAAAATTACACAGAGGTTAGTACCTGGTCATTTGACTATCATCTTGCCCTCTACCAGCAATAATTATAACATAACCAAAGTAAAGGGCGCGCTTTGATTGGTCAATTTAGCGTCCCCCATTTGCCCATGGGTGTACGCTGCTGACGTGAGCAAATGCAAAGACTATTTTTCCGCGCGCGCTTGTTTTTTCTGGTCACGTAAGATTTGTTAAATAAAAGGGAACTCTTTAGCTAAAATGTATCAATGTTATGTTATAAAACAAATGGTAAACACCACAGCGTACAGTATTGAGTTACAGATGCACTTGGGAGGTTTGCTAAGCACTCAAGAAGCTAGAGTCGCAGTCGGCTATCGCGTCGTACGACTCTTACGCTTCTTTCATGCTTAGCAACCTCCCGCGTGCATCCATAACTCATTAGTGTACGCTGTGGTGTTTACCATTTGTTAATTGGAATGATAAACAGCAAAGCTTTTGAAAGGGATGTTACAAGGGGAGCCTTCCTTTACACTTTATAGAAACAAACAGTGGTTTAAGATGGAGGGTTTTTAAATGACTTAAATAAAGCTTTGACTGTGTTGACCACACAATCCCGTGTGAGAAACATAACGCTACCATACGGTGACCTAAACATAATTGTTGGCCCGTAACTGTACCCTACCTGTCAGCGTTCGACTCTTTGAAGTTAGGGAAGGCCTTGTATCTTAGCAACAGCTTGACAGCCTCCAAATGCCCAGATGCACAGCTCCAGTGCAGCGCGGTAATTCCGTCGTTGTCTTGGTGATCAACTTCGGCACCATGCTCCATCAAAACCGTCATAAAATTCACGAATCCACCGTGAGCGGCGCACTGGAGCGGGGTACGACTAAAAAGGAACAAACAAATTTTGACGCAAGAGCTTTTTAGTGGATTTCTTAAATAGCCTGAAGACCGACGAATTGAAATAATAATAATAAAAAAAAAAAACAAGTTATGCCAAGAGTATGAAATCGAAACTACTTAATCAAAACTCGATTTGGGTTGGTATAACTGTTTTCAATTAATTTCGGGGGCTTTGCAGACGATTTCATTGCTAGTTATTGTTTCCTTCGGATTTAATTACATTTCGGAGTTTCCAAATAAATAAAGCTCCCACAATCGATTTAATTCAAGAGAAATGGCCACCATATATTACAGGCCGGCTTGCAAAAACAGAACACCGTCAGAATTATCACCGTGACGGACAATCCGTACGAAGGGCTACGAAAAATTTCGACGGTATCAGTTGAAGCGGCTTCGATATACTAACGTATTACCTTTTTACCACAATTGGCAGTAATATCGCGATCTAATTGGCCAATTTGCTGTTGTAGCGATAAGAATACAGATACCGCTGCTCGCTTCAACGTGTCACGCAATGGTCACGGATTGCAGTTGTTGCGGACTCAATCGGCTGCGTCTTGTGAATCCAAAACATTTTGACCACTGCGATGACGAATGTCGTTGTCGACAAGAGTACAGACCACGCTAAAACACTGTCGATTTATTAAATGTTGCCGAATCTATCTAAGGTCAAAACCTATGCTGTTGCTGTTGTTCCAAGTTTTCGAATTGGGGTGAGGTAAGAGGTACAAAGCCGGAGTTTCTCCCAGTTTCTGAGGCATGAAGCGACCAGGAGTATTGCTACTCTCCCTGGATGGGATGGTAGGTCGCTGTAAGATTATTGCCCCCCCCCTGCCCCCCCCTGTCAGCATTTCTAGTACCAATTTATAATCCTGGGCGGGGGCTAAGAGGGGCAATGTGAGGATGCCGGGTCTCGGACTCAGAATTCTCTACCTGGAGTCCATTGCACAAATCGTTTGGCTAACGCATCACCTGCGTGAAAGGTAAAGGAGGTTTCAACTGCAGATGAGGAGGTTAACCAGGGTGGTAAGTGGAAGACATCTCAACTCACCCCAGGTGGTCCTTAGTGTCCGAGGGCACACTCTGATCTATCAGAGCGTTACATATGGGGGCATGACCCCCGAGTGCCGCCCAGTGAAGTAACGTTCGGCCATCTTGGTCTTCCAAGTTGACAGTGGCACCATCTACAACGGAAGGTTACAGAAGTTATTAAACTGATAGTCATGAAACAACAAGCAATATATACTTTAAAATCGGGTGAGCAATAGAAATGATCTCTAAGTTAAGACAAGATTAGGCAAGGCGCGTCGTCCTGTCCGCAGTTGTGCTGGGAAGAGAGTTGGAAAGATTTTTATTCGACTTTTCACCAATTCTCGTGCTCTTGCATGATCTGATTGTTAATATTCCCCTCTGGCCGTTACACATTACTTTGTAAATAAGTTCAGTAGGTGAACTGGGTGTTGGATCAAGATAATAATAAGGATATCATATGGAGAAGTTACATTTAAATTATTTTCAGGAGATTAAGAGGGAAATAGGCAAACAAAACGCAAAAGCAACAGTTTTGATGAAGAAATTCTTGGGGTGGACTTGGCAAACATTTTCATATTTCTAAAAAAAGGCTCGGGCGTTCTAGGATTGGGAGAGTGGGGCAATTAAAAAGCCAGATTACTGAAATGAGAACTTAAAGAGTTTCAAGGATCTAGGGCAAAAGAAAATCGGATTCCCTACAAGGAAGGAGCGCAGTGATGAATAAAAGCGCAAAAAAATTTACCATCAAAGCTGAATTCGAATTCTTTTAAACTAATGCTTACTTTCGTTCGAACTACCAACGTACTTACTCTGAATCAAATTATTGACCACTTCAGTGTGTCCCATCTCGCATGCGCGAAAGATGGGTGTGTGCTGAAGCATGTCCAGTGCATCAACGCAGGCTCCAAACTGAATCAGTAGCTTCACACAGTTCACGTGACCAGAGTAAGCAGCTGAATGCAGCGCTGTTCCTCCCAATTTGTCTTTGGCGTGCACGTCTAGGTGGTGGTCTAACATTGTCTTTAACGCATTCTCACTTCCTGGAGAAATTCAAGGATGAAGCATTTTGGCATGAAGAGCCTTGACTAGAATGATAGTTATTAAAGGTGACTGGCTAGGGATGTCGGCAATTACAAATCGAGCGTCAACAGTAATGCGCTCTGATTGGTCTAGAAAATTAACGCCGTACTCTAAAACCAATCAGATATGATTTCAATCCGCGTTTTCCCGCACTTAACGTTAGTTACCCGCGTTTTCCCGCGCCTAATGCCAATTATATGTGTTTGATTTGAGCACTCGTTAGTTCCTTGTGATACTAGCCTCTGTCCTGGCTGGCTGCCGAGATTAGTTTGGTTTTTTGTTTTATGACACTTCCTCGAATAAAGCTTTAAATGAGCAACTAACCTTTCCCCGCAGCCCACATGAGAGCAGTTCTTCCTTCATGATCAGGAATATCTTTCACTCTGTCAAAAGACAGGAACACTTTGACCGTTTCACAGTAGTTGCTCTGAGCCACGTAATGAAGAGCAGTAGCCCCATTGCTGTCCGCAACAGTAAAATCCGCATTCCTCTCCAGTAGCATTTTCACTAATTGAGAGTTGCCTGAAAAATGAGTTTCCAAATCAAAATTAAACTTCAGAGCTTGGAATTTATAATTATCCATTACCTTAAAAGCAGGCAACATGCTCTTTTCTATTAACTGCAACGACGTATTCCACCTCGTAGAGGGGTTTATATGAATCTGTGTTCAGCCGGATTGCAATTTGAAAAACATTAGATCCTTTATTTAAGGAAAAACCGATGGTAAAAGTTCACAACAAACATGGAGGAAAAGCCAGTCGAAATACCTCGAGGTAACTAACTGAACGGCGCATGCGTGTACGCGATTACATCATAATACGTCGGAACAATCAGCTTTGCTTTCGATAACTCTCGAGTTTTTTTTCACCCTACTTTTGTTTCCGTTTACAGATTTCTTAGACGTTTCTGCGTGATAGCGGTTGTTTGTTGTGTCTTCCCTTCAGATTTAGGGCGGGAAATTGGCGCGCAGCCGGCTAAAATTGGTTCCCTTGCGTAAGCCCTATGTTTGACCGCTCTGTCCGTTGCTTCGTTTTACCAACCTAACACCGCTGCCCAGTGTAGAGGTGACCGGTTCATGTTGTCTTGGGCCGACTCTTTACACTTGTCAAGAGCGAGCAACACCTTAACAGCTGCCTCGTTCTGCTCCGCAACAGCGAGATGCAGAGCAGTTCGTCCTTCATTGTCCTGATGGTTGATGATATCCGAGTTTGCGTCCTGGGGAAACAAAGAATCAAATGGCATTTCAATCATGTCGTAGCTATTGTAATGTAGGAGGTAACTCTCATGTTAAACTCTGAATATGAAAGCGATCTTCGCAGTAATGAGCTCTACAGTAGTGAAAATAAGGCCTGAAAAAAATTCATCTATTCACAGTTCTTAATGTTAAAGTCTGTTGATAAAATCGGAGTGGCCATTGAAATGAAAACTACTGCGAAGAACTCAGTGGTCAAATTTCTGAGCATGCGCGAAAGTTGTGATGACTAGATGGCGTACCTATAACCAAGTTGTCTCCCATGAGTTACAAACAACCACACAAGCCAGCAGGTCACGGTTTTTCAATTGTTTGCTCAAAACAGAATGGTAAATCAACACGAAACCCGTACTTGAATAAGATTTGAGTATTCTCTCTTTTTACAGATTTCTATGAACGTTTCAATTTTGTTTCGCTTATTTTGCGAGAACAGCGGTTGTTTCTAATGTTTTCCTTTGAAATTTTATGCGGGAAATTGGCGCGCGGCCGGCCAGAATTGATCCCCTCGCGCATGCCCGTCGTTTGACCGCTGAGTTACTAAGCGGCATGTCGTGTGCTACGATTGCACAAAACAGCTTAACCTTTTTTAACAAGCTTGTGGATGACGTTTCCGTGCCTGACCCCTCATTTGAGAGGAGGGGGGGGGGCATTTCTTTGTCGTAATCTCTTATCGTCCCTTTAACTTAACCTTCTACTGTGATAGGTCGCTCTCCTGATGAAGCTTTCCCTGGTCCAGCTTTACATTTCTTTATTTAACGCGTCTAGTCAAAAATGAATTAAGTTCAACCAAAGATATTTACCAATATAAGTTTCACAACAGCAGGATCCGGATTTGTTATTGCCCAATGAAGAGGTGTCCTCTCTGACAGGTATATCAAAAAAGAAAATCATATATCTCCGTAGGTTTTAGTCTAATACTATAGTTACCCATTAATGATTCTGCCCTTTTTCTAAAAAATCAACAAGCCCTGATACTCAAAAAAAATAACACATTTTTTGATATAGGGCGGGGGTACACCCTAAATTCACTGAAAATGCACATTTTTAGTTTACCCGGATTTGAGCGGGCGGGATAATTTTTGCCAGTTTTTTAAATTTTTTTGCATTGCGAGCGATTTTAGAATTCCCACTTCTGTTTGCTTATTAGGCATTACATAGCAACACAAAGAAAAGGAGACGAGACTTTCAACTTATCTCTTCCAGACAGGCCCTCATCATGAGCGCTTCGGGATGGATGTTTCTTCGCCCGCGGGAAAGTATTAGCAACCCGAGCCCGCGAGTGGTCTGCACGGGTCTAGCAATACTAGTGCCAGACCCCCAGCAAACCCTTCCCCGATTCGTCCCTAGTCTTCCCCTGGACTAAAAAACGCGCGTCCTTCGGCACTAATAATGAGGTCACGACATCCCTCTCTACGTCTTCAGCCTTTCTTGCCCAAAATTTGTAAAACTATTTCAGTGGTGCCAATTTTTGTTTATTTATCTATTCAAACACGTATCAATGGTTTCTGCCCCCTTAAGAACCTCATTTTCTATTAAATGTCCATGGTGTAGTACGTTACGTAATATCAGAGGATGTGCTTGCCACCACCACACACCCCCCCCTCCCGCCCCGCTTCTTTTATTCCCAGCGACCAAATTCTGTTTTTCGGCGACCACCTCGCGATTTTGCGTCGCCAAAAAGCGAATGAAAGAAATTCTCTACAGAGGCAATTAACATTACCAAAACCAAATTATCGTTTTAAAATGCTATAAACTTGTATTCGGGCTGAATGGCCTTCGTTTCTGTGATTTTTTTTAATTTGCTTCAAAACGTACTAGGTCCAACCACAATTACAAACTGCAGGTTAAATTGGCAAAGTGTAATTGTTATAAATACTCTTTTTTTGTTAAAATCATTCGTGAATGGAATGACCTGCCCGCCAACGTCGTTGAGATAGTTAACTGAACACGTTTCAAAACAGCTCTTAAATTATACATGCGTATTTCTTAGGTTTTTATCCATCTTAGATTTTATCATAAGCATACATTTTTAAATTTTACTTCTTTGGCAGTTTATTTACATAGGGTTAACCTCTTAAACTTCCTTTATAGGGTATTATTTGTGTTGTTTATTCTTTGATACCTTAAATAAAGGGTTCTGTCCTGGTGTACCGGTTCACAAGGGAATTACCATTGTTCTTTCTTTGTTTAGGAGATATCGGTTAGCTATTGTGTATTGTTTGATCTTTTGTATTGGCTCTTGTGAA